TTATAATATATATATATATATATATATATATATATATATATATATATATATATATATATATATAAACCTTATAAGACAGTATAATGTATACTATTATGTATTTACTTATAATTCACTTGTTTGAAGGAATATATTTGCAAAACAGCATAGAGCAACTTGTCCTATGTATAGTCAGTTCTATTGCTGTCCATCCTGGGTAAGACAATAAACTATGTCCAACAGCAAGGCCTCTGATCAGGAGGTTTTGAGGAGCATGGAACCACCTCTTAATTGCTGATGTTCCCAGGTTCGCCCTGACTCAGTGTGATAGCGCCTGTTAGGGTCCCAGCTATGGGTAAATAGTTAACTTCCAAACTTGGGTCAAAACACTATGAAAGTGAAAAAATAGGTTTTAATACAGAAATACTTTGTAAAAAAAAATTATTACCAGCAATAAATTTTTGAAAAAAAAAGTTATTACCAGCTATACATTTTTGAAGGAAAAATATTACCAGCAATAAAAATCTTGGCATTAAATAACCCATTAAGGTTGATATGCCGTAAAACAAAAACAAACCAATCTATTGCTGTCCCAAGTAACCCCCACACTCACTAAAATGGTAATTCTTTAGAAATAACAAAATTAAAATAAGATTTCTCACATACTAATAGCTCTTGAGGGAGCCAATAACTTTGCATGAGAAATACAGAAAATGCAAAAAAAAATCAAATGGAAAATATTTGTTTATAGTGTTTTAAAAGAGAAATATATAAATTCCATTTTTTAAACATAACCCACAGCTAAATTTAAATAAATCAGCATTTTAGTCAAAATTGCAAATAAAAGATGAATTACAAAGAGACCCCTTTGATTCATCTTAAAGATGTTATCATTATATATATATATATATATATATATACAATTCTTTATTTGTATGTTTTTGTTAGCATATTCATATTACTGCCTGAACATATTCACACACACACACACACACACATAAGCTCCTACCCAAAAGATAGCCAAGTCTTTTTATAGCTTCAAGGGACAGTAACATAACTGCTGCAAGGGTTCCAGCTTAGAATTTTTATATGTTTGTGAGACATCAGAAACATAGCTATGTAAGCTTTGGTGTTTGACCCAATTTACTCAACCCATCATGTTATAAAAATTGAACAAGATAAAAAAGTATTTAATTATTTATATTTATTGCAGAAAAGTGAAGAATATCCTGCATCTTTTAATTTCTTTGGCAACTGCTTTCGCTTGTTCAGACACAGTTTGCCGTAATCATTGATAAGCTTGCTAATACATGACAAATTCATAAATGCCAAACATTGTATGTATAAAAAAAAGATATTCTGTATATTTAAGCAGCAAATGTTCTTTAAGGAAAATATTATTAAAGACAAAAGAAATTTTACATCAATTAGTTTAATGGTCGACACAAAATGTTTCTTTTTAATAATATTTGTCTTAAATGTGTATGTGTGTGTCTGTACATGTAAAAATTCATATATATATAAAAATAAAATATACCTATGAAAACAATATGAATAAAAGACAAAGAAAACTTTTCTTTACCAACGTGTTTTTGTGACAAAACACATTGATAAAAAAAAAGCTTATATATATATATATATATATATATATATATATATATATATATATATATATATATATTATTATTATTATTATTACTTCAAATGTCAATTATTACATTGAAAGAAGTATACACTATAATAACATGCGCATATATATATATATATATATATATAAATATATAAAATATGCACACACACACACACATATATATATATATATATATATATATATATATATATATATATATATATATATACATACATACACACACATATATATATACTGCATATTCGAATATCATGCAATTTTTAAAGACCTAATTTTGAAACTAATTTTAAGATGCTCACATCATACACAAGATATGAAATTAGTGTATATGCCAGCAGTACATACTCTCTAATTTTATATCTCATGTATGATGCCACCCCCTTAAAATTAACTTCAAGATTAAGTTTTCAAAAGTCGCATGATATGTGAATATATACAATATATATATGTATGTGCATATATGTGTATGTGTGTGTGTGCGCACATACACACACACATATAAATATATATGTAAATATATATGCACACACACACACATATGCCCATACACACGCACACACATATATATATCCATAAATATGCATACACACATATATGCGCACACACGTGTACATATGCTCACGTGTAAATATATATGTATATTTATGCACACAATGCACACACACACAATATGATAAATATTTCGTTTTTCTACCTACTTACTTAACTTACATTTTTTTTTGTTTATTTTTCCTTGTGAGATTATGAAAGAATTAAAACCCGGAAACTAAAAAAATCCGTACTATAGAATAATATAGAAAGAAAATTGCAATAAATTCAGTAAAAAAAAAAAAAATAGTGTTATTAACTTAAAGTTAAAGTCAAGTAACACGACCATCTTCTTAATTTATTTTTTTTATTGCGATTGGAAATCGGAAAAGCCAGAAGGAAAGCTCTTCCGAAAGAAAATCTGTCAAACTATTTTTATTTTCACCTTTGACTGTTTTAATTATTCATCTTGATTTTGTCCTCGTATGCCAGTGTGTTGTTTTTGTTTTTAAAAAAATAGGCCAACCATCTGTCCCTTCGCTTCTAACGGCAGACCCTCCTTAGCCCTAAATCCTTTGTCCCTTCGCCTTTTAGGTCTATCTCTACGTCTCACGGCAATCAGGTTTTTTTTACTTCATTCATAAAAACGAAAATAAAAAGGGAACGTTTTATCGGCTGGATTTTTTAAAACTGAGTTTTTTTTTTTAAATAAGTTATTTGCAAATCATTTATAAAAATTAGTAGACGGCAATAAAGAACTTTTTTACTAAGTAAAAGTCTAAAAAAAAAAACTCTTTACCTGGGACCAATATTTTTTATGCCTGTTACTAACTGTTACCACGTGGTTCATTATTATTAATTAACGAAATTAAGAATCTTTTTTTATGTTTCTTATTTACTTATTTATTTTGTAAATGAACAGAAAAAGTTATCAAGAGTCAGTTAATAATTACTTTTCATCGTTCTTAGAGAACTTTGAAAATTAGTTCTAAAAGGAGGTTGGGCCTGATTATTTTTTTAAGTTTTTATACACGCAAACAACCCTAATTCAAATCTGTGTTAAACCTATTAAAAACCCTTAAAGCACTATCCCTTATCACATTTTTGGAACACACTGACAAAAGATTATGCTTGTGTTCAGTAAACAATGTGGATTACCATACCAAATTCGAACTCGTAAATAATTTTTTTTTCATAATCACGCAGTGCCTTCTACAAAAAGATCCCTTTCTTTTTCTCAGTCGACATTAAAATAAATATTCTTGGAGGGAAAAAAAAGTAAGAAAAACAAGATTCTCTTCTTTTAAAAACAGATAGAAAGAAAGGAATTTGAAAAATATTTAGATTTAGGTTTGCAAAGGAGTAAGAAGACTAAGAGACGATGTTTTTTTCTCTTTGATTCAGAATTAATGTTTTAAATTCTACGTGCCTGACCTTAATACTGCAGCACGCTGTTTTAATGGCTAAACAGAAACTAAACATTGTTTTCCTTTAGTTTCCATGTATAATCAATAAATATTTAATTTATTTATCACTGCTGCTGAAGCTGATATTTTTATTATTATTGTAAAGACTTAAAACGCATCAGTGCATTGTGTTGGCCAAAAAGTTCGTTCGCTTAGAAAATTTACTTAATAAAAAAAAAAAAAACAAACGAATTTTTTGGTCACCCTTCTTTCGCAAGATATTTCTAGAATAAGTCATCTACAATAATGAAACTAGACTTGGAAAATATATTTGAGTAATAATAAAAACGTGTGATAAATTTAAATTTTAATATTTAAATATAAATAATTAATCCCATAATTACACAAATTTCTGGGTTACACTTATTGCAAAATTTATGGACAAAGTATTTTTGTTGTTTACATTTTCTGATAAAAATCACAAAAAAATCATTTAAATAAGATTTAGTATATTTATCTTGTAAGTCACTTTTACTACATGGATTTTGTAATTAAGCCCTGCAGAACATGCTCTTATAATTTTTAAAATAAATAGTTTACTCTTTTAAAAAATCCTTTGTTATATATTTTTAAAATCACTTTAAATACTTCTTTTGTTTGTGATTTGGAGAATATTTCTATAGTAAATCCTTTATGTATGTTGTAATACATTTGCATAAGGTTTTTAAATAAATCATTTACAGTCAATTTTTATATCGATGCATTTGTATAATAAAAAAATGACTAAGAAATAGATTTTTGCAAACATTTATTTTTACTCATATTCAATATTTTCACCACATACCTAAAAGGGATTCAGTTAGAGAAATACTATTCACTTAACAATGCATACACATTGGTCTTATCAAATTCATTGTTTTAAACAATGAATTTTATTCCCTCAAGTACCAAACAGAATTTCTAAAAGTAAAATGTAAATAAAAACAAAATATATACATTTGTGCTAATATATCAAATAGTCAAAACTCTGTTTGTTTTTTTTTTATCTCTTTTAAAGGCTGATAAAACAATCAATAATGTTGTAAGCCACAAAGTTTTTATGAATAATTTAATAATTTGTTTGCAGAATCAAAAATAGATATGGTATGAGGTAATATGCCCAATAATTTTATTCATAGATCTGTGAGATACATAGGAACATAAAGAGATATGCTTATCCTTAAATATCTACAGATATAGTTATGAATAAAGTAGATTATATAAGTAGATAAATATACAGAATTGTAGTAGCAAGTGTTTGGCTGTGTTATGCAACTTTCCCATGATGAGCTGGGAAACTACCTTGAAAATCAGTATGCAAAATACTGGTTAATTGCCTAAACACAAATAGTGACTACTGACACTATATGAATACTTGTTAGAATTTCAGCCACCAGTCAAGCTTTTAAATAGATAGAAGAGAATGAAATAGAAGTATTGAAGGGGTTGAGATAGATAGATAGATAGATAGATAGATAGATAGATAGATAGATAGATAGATAGATAAAGGCATAATGAAGGGGCATAGATAGATAGATAGATAGATAGATAGATAGATAGATAGATAGATAGATAGATAGATAGATAGATAGATAGAGGCATAAGGAAAGGGGATAGATAGATAGATAGATAGATAGATAGATAGATAGATAGATAGATAGATAGATAGATAGATAGACTGATTCAAATAAAAAATATGATCCAGGACACTGATAAATAGATCAGTCAAATCTTTCTTCTGAGGAAAATGGTGAAATTAGCTTTTTTCCATACAGAAAACATTTGGCATTCACTGAACAAGCATTTAGCATTACTTCCACTTTTATAAATAAAATCTTTTTTTTTTTTTAACAGTTTTTCAGGAAATTAATCTTTCCTTGTCCACTGTTATTATTCTTTTTGGTATTATTATGAGTTTTATTGCAAACCTTTTGTTTAATGTTGTGTGGAAAGTCAATATTTTCATTACATCTTTATGTTTCCTTCTAGTTATATATTCCATCTAATATTATTGTTATTGTTGGAAGTCTTCAAGAAAGACTAAGCAAAAGTAAATAAAAGGGTTGCTATATAAAACCTGTGAAATGATGAAATCAGGACAAATAGATAAGCCCAGTGCATAAGCAGATGATTATATAACCATGAGTGATTAGATGAGTCTGTGTAGTGGGAGATATACACGCTGACCCTAAGGAGCAGGTCAAGAATCCAAACCTAGAGGAACAGCAAGTGACCTGCAGCAGAGGCAACATTGAGTGGCTTCTGTCTTGGGTGAGATCAGTTCTGGATCAATGCTAACCAGAGTCACAATAAGAGGGGCAAGGGTAGTTAATGAGCAAGCCAAACATTTTGGTATGGGAAGGGGATAGTTGCTGACGGTATTTGAAAGATCAATGAGCAAACAGAAAAAGTGTGTATCAGGGAGACAGATGGACAGACAAGTGCAGTGAAATAGACTAACCAATATAAAAGCACAAGAAAAATATATAACGTTTGTATGTTTATATATACTCTCTCTCTCTCTCTCTCTATATATATATATATATATATATATATATATATATATATATATATGACAGACAGGGTGTTTTGATTTAGTTTTTTTTAGACAATTTCTCATGTGATCTAATAATCTTTTCTTTTCGGATGATAATTTATATAAAAACTGTCCAAGTGTTCTTTTTATCCGAGAGCTTTTCGGCTATACATTTAGCCAATTTCATGGTTGAAATATATTAACTGTTAACAAGAAATAGTTTTTTGTATGGATGTATTTATATAATGTTTTAATTTTTGTATGTCTGAGCACTTTTGTCTATATTTTTACCCATTATCAAGGATGAATTTTATTTTTACTTTTAACTGAATCTATGGATTATTTTATGTATGTATCTAGAGTTATAGGAATGTTTTATTTTCCAAACACTGTCAGCAGATTGTGGCCATTTTCATAAATATATATATATATATATATATATATATATATATATATATTACTTCAAATGTTATAGTGGTGGATACTTGTATTTTAAATGAACTCCACATTTTTATTTTTACTTTAAGCAGTGTGTATTACATAATGCTTGCATATTCCAAGAAATTTTGATAAAGAAAATATGACCTGTGTGCAATATATACACTGTTTAAAGTAAAAATAAAAATAAGGTTTCTATTTCAAATATGAGTATCTACAATAACAACATTTGAAGTAATAAAAATGTACAATTAAAACTAAATTCATTAACTCTTTAGAAATTGCTTTTTTATTGGGGGGTAGGACACACAAAGGTTAGACATTACCCCAAAATTATTCTGTCTATATTTCTGCAATGAAGTAATACAACTATTTACACTATTTACATTATTTGAACTGTTGTCCTCATCTTTATTATCATATTCACAATGTTTTGGCTGTTGTGTGCTTTTATCCATGGCCAAATGGTTGGTTGAAGTAATCCAGTAACTTGACCCAATGAGTTGTGAGTTCAATACCTGGCCACAGCAGAGGTGAACAAAACTTGGAGAGTTGGGTTACTAAAGGGAAATTACTGAAACTGAGATATCCAGAAAAGGTGTGGCATGTGGAACTAGAACAATCTACCCCAGTGGACGAAATAAAGAGTTTGGTTCAAAATTCCAATATATAGCATCAGAAGAATCTGAAATGTTAATATGGCAATAAAGATGAGGTCAACAGTCCAAACAATGTAAATAGTGTAAATACCAAAAACTATTATTGCTAATTGTAGAAATAAAATAATTACTGTATTTTCTGCACTATAGACCACACTTGTATATAACCTACACTCCTATAAATTCAGTACAAAATCCTTGTATAACCCACATCGTCCTATAATCCACACCTCTTTTTTTGATATTTCATTGTTAGTAACAGTTTATATAGGTATTGACAGTAGGCGCTAGTAGTTTTATATGAATATCAATAGAGAAATATTATTTTTCATTCTTACAAAAAGATTTTATTTCATAAAAATACAGAGAATTCCGTCACTCACTTTCAAAACCATCAAAATCTTCATCTTTGGTATCATCTTTGTAAAGCTGGCTGTACAATTCCATGAGGCCAGGTGCAATTGTCTGAATATCCAATATAAGAATCACCTTATTTACATTATTCGGACTATTGTCCTCATCTTTGTCACCATATTTATTACAACGTTTCGTCCCTTCAGTATCTGTCTATATTTCTGAGATGAGGTATTATGTACATTATTTACATTATTCGGACTATTGTCCTCATCTTTGTCACCATATTTATCACAACGTTTCGGCCGTTGTGCGCTCCGGCCTTCTTCAGGTGGTTGGAATGTCGAACTGAACCCTTTATTTTGTTCACTGAGGTAGACTGTTCTAGTTCCACGTGCCATGTTTGATGGAGGAGAGGTTATAGTCCAGAAAATACAGTAACATTAATTCTTTATTGTTTATTATCAGTTCCCATATTAAACTATTTTATTAAATTCTCTCTGAATTTCTGGAATGAGGAGTTATCATCATTTACATTCAGACTATTGTCCTCATTGCTGACAAGCTCAGTGTTTCAGCCATTGTGCCCTCGGGCATCCTTCAGGGAATTTTGAACTGAATCTTTTAGCTAAAGGGGTAGATTGTACTTGTTCTACTTTTAATGTCATGGGGTTGTGGTGAACCCACATCAATACAGACACAAAAGCGGCCATAGATTGCATGTGGACATGCCTGTCAAAACCATTTACATTCAAGTTTTCCCCATTAGCAGCAGAACAGCTTGACATATTCAGATACAAGCCTCTCTGTAACTTGTCTAGAGGCAAGTTTTCTTTCAACAGTCTCTTGTCAATAAAATCAACAGGCAGTTGGCAAGATTCTGTGTTTTGATACAAATTTATTTTGGTATAAAACTGACTTAAACAAAAAGAAATTAAGAGACTTAAATTGTAATTCTATCTCTTTCTCTCTCTCTCTCTCTCTCTCTATATATATATATATATATATATATATATATATATATATATATATACGTACATACATATATATAATAAAAAGTGAAAAAAAAGTTTTACGAATTTGTTTTACAATCCGTCAGGACTTTGTAAAACTGTGTGTTTGTTAGTCCTAAGTGATGAAATGTGTCACATGAAAAAAAACTTTCCACTTTGTCATATATCTTTCCTCCAAAACTGTTCTTAATATATAAAAATTATATATCATTATCCCATTTATATATATATATATATATATATATATATATATATATATATATTGTATATTTAGGCAGCAATCCTTCCTTTATGCATGTTTCATTAAAATGACAGACAAGGTACTACGGTTAAGCTTTTTATTTAATTTTTCTTCTGTTCACACAAGAGCTTTCTTTTCTAGACAAAGGGTGTGTAAGAACTGTCCAAATGTTTTATATTTCCGAGCGCTTTCGGCTATACCTTTAGCCATTATCAAGGATGATTCAATTATCAGCTTAATTAAGTGTGTGCATTCTGTGTATGTATTAGTGTGTGGTAGGGATGTTTTTAATTTCCAAATACGGTTAGCACATTGTGGCTTTGTTCATAGTTAATATTGTTAAGAGTTGGCTTTTTCTTTTTTATTATTTAAGCTTCCATTATTTTTAGTCTTTTTTTGCATGTGGATGCAGTTAATATATTTGTGTTTTCTACTAGTATGTTCCTAATGGAATCGGGTAAATCTGTGTGTGTGTTTCAAATCATCCTTGATAATGGCTAAAGGTATAGCCGAAAGTGCTCGGAACTATAAAACATTTGGACAGTTCTTACACACTCTTTGTCCAGAAAAGAAAGCTCTTGTCAGAACACAAGAAAAATTAAATAAAAGCTTAACCGTAGTACCTTGTCTGTCGTTTTTAATGAAACATATATATATATATATATATATATATATATATATATACTAATTTACTAGTTGCCTTAAGACCACAGATACTTTCTCTTTTTGTAGTGTTTTAACATATATTCAGTAATAATAATAATAATAATAATAATAATGAAATTAACCCATTACCACATAAAGTTTTCTTAAAATTTTAGCTCTTTTTCATAATCTACCCTTTTGGCTAATGGTAATCTTAGGGCAAATTTAAAATCTTAGGTAACTCATTTCTTTATAATTTGAATGTCATGCATTAATGGGATAAATAGTCTCAGCACCCTAGCTTAATTGGAGTTAATTAAACCAAGGAAACTTACTAATTATTAAAACCACTGGGGAGCCTCAAATGTTTGGTTTATACTGTATAGCTTGAAACAAAATTTGAGATAAGGTATATATCACTGGGAATAGGTCATTATATAGATAGATAGATAGATAGATAGATAGATAGATAGATATGAACAGACATAGATATACACACATATATATATATGAAGATAGAGAGATAGAAACATAGATAGATATGAATATAGATGAATAGATATGAACATGTATCGATAGATAGATAGATAGATAGATAGATAGATAGATAGATATGAACATAGATATGAACAGACATAGATATACACATATATATATATATGAAGATAGAGAGATAGAAACAGATAGATATGAATATAGATGAATAGATATGAACATGATAGATAGATAGATAGATAGATAGATAGATATGTACATAGATAAGAACAGAGACAGATACATATGAACATCGATAAGAGTATAGATATATACATATGAACATAGATAAGAGCATAGATAGATAGATACATATGAATATAGATAAGAGCATAGATAGATATGAACAAATATAGATGAATGGATAGGAACAACAAAAATAAATGAATCGATAAGTTTTTTTATTTAAACATAAGAAAAACATAGATTGATTATATGAATTCATTGATTGACAAATAAATGAATAAAACAGTTTATATTATATAAATCATAAATAAGATAGCTGGGCATTTAATTTAAGAGATTAATAAATTATTTAAAATTTATAGAAATGAATAGATGGACCAATGAGTATCATACATTGGTAAGTCAGTAATATAAGTTGATTATATTTAGAGATGACTTAAAACAAATGAATCTGTTGAATAATTTACTCATTGATCTTTCCATAATAATAAAGTGTAGGGTATTCCAAAAGTTGCATTACTATCACTAATCTTGTAAATTTTATATTTACCAAATGGAATCATGTTTCTGTATGTGACAATATATTATTAATAAATTTTATTGGTCAAATTATGGAAGATGATGTCATGCAAATTTTCCCTAGATGCTATTTCACAAGTGTATGCTTTATGCCAATTGTTGCATGACTTTTGGATCACCCTGTACAACGATAAATAATTTATTCAAATGATCTGCCAATAATATTTAAGAACAATGTTGTACAGGGATGCATAAAATTATAAGTTGCACCAGGGACTTTCCCACTGCCATAATGTAGCATCTCTGTGATTCTTCTATGAATATTTTCATGTCAGTTGTTTGTTTTGATGAGCTTTCCTCTTTGGTACCTCGACTTTATGAATTTAAGTGCAGTACTAGAGTGACAGTTAGGTCTCATCTTTTTTATTGTTGAAATAGCCTGATATAACCATAAGCTCTATTCTAATAGTTTCTTTTCTCTTGCATTTCTCGCCTGTGGAAAGCTCTTCTGACTTCTTGCCTTCCTGTAAACTACAATCTTACAAAATTTAAATGCAATATCAATCATCATCTTCTGTCTTTTTGAATCCTGTTCTTTTATTGTCCTTTCTCCTCACTAACATTTTCTCAGTATCTTTCAATTTCAGTAATCCCTTGCATCTTAGTGGCTTTATATCCTTACTTAGAGTGAAATGATTACATTATAATACTTAAACAAGATCTCTTTCTGATTCATAAATACATTTCACCAGACATGTTGGCCGGATGTAAGCGCTAAGAAAGCAAAACATAAAATAAGAAAGTCACTTTCTGCACATGGGCTTCCAGCATCACATCTGGTCCACAAAACAAATTCCTGCAAAAATCCAAAAATGCAATAGCCAATAATGATTATTCCTGCAAAAATGTGCCTGGGAACTTGCACCTGGTAAGGCAAAAATATAAAGTAGTACTCCTAGCCGATGACAGGCAGTTTGGTTTCAACACTTTGGCCTCATCACATGACCGACATATCATTAAACTGTTGATTTGAACTGTGAAGTACATAAATACACTTGGTTACACTAATCTGCTCTAGGATTCTCTCTTAACACCAACTGTGACCTTGGCCAACCAACCTAAGAATTCTGTCAAATCGCACCCTTATACCTAATTGCTTTCCTTACCAATGGCAACTAAGGGACCACATATGAACAATTTTCGACACCTTTTAAACAACCATGTATACATTCTGAATGTTGATCAATACACATTGTTGGAATTTTAATCCTTGTTTGTTCCTTTTCTTTGCAACCAAATGCTCGTTATAACAATTACACACACAAAAATAATAGAAAATACTCGCAAGTTTCCTTTTTCTTCTGAAAGCAACTTTTAATTTAACTTTTCATCCAAACTTGTTACTTGTCAATCGAATTTAAATTGGCATTGCATAAATTATTTTAGCATTATTTCTATATACAAATATAAACAGTCGGCAATAGCATAGCCACAAGTAGGATTCAAACCCACACATCCAAACTCATCAGTGTGGCACAGCTTATGAAAATAAAATTGTTTTACTTAGTCATAACAATTTGATAGCTTTGTCTCAATTGTTGATAAAAATTTATAACAATATTGTAAAATGCATAAAAATAGGTAAATACTAAATAGGTAAATGATATTGGCAAGTTATTTCACAAATAAATATTTAAGCTTCATACCATACACATTATAGCAAACAACCCTTATTCCTTTTTTATTCCATTGGTGAGATGTAAATTCGATTGAAGCAGTTACTTCCCTTGAACCACAGCTTTGTAGAACTCCCAAGAGGATGCTTCTCTGGTCACTACAATCTTAACCTGTTCAAGTCTAAGGTCAACTGTTAACTTCACTACATATCCCCATAAACTTTGCCTCTTACTCTGTAACCCTCTACCTCGAGTGGCTCTTGATATTGACGATATTGACCACTGGTGTGTAATTTCAACTGTTGGTTGGGTAATGGGCAACTGAAAAGAAAATGGTGAGCAATTGGAAATTTTGGTGGCCGACATAGGATTTTGAATATTAAAATGATATTTCAACACCATGCTACTCAAAAAATAATCAAAGGTGATATGCTAAGAACCTGTATGAAAACAAAAAATAGAGGCTAAATGGAAATAATTAGATCACATTCAAAGAGAAGATATAAAAATCTCTGCAAACAACAAATATTTTGATATTTTCTATAGTTTTGAGAAGGGTCATTAACATTCAAATGGTTCTTCAGAAAAAAAAAACCTTTTTATGGATATAAATCAGAAGACCAAGAAGAACAAAGAAATATTTGCTGAATTTTTATTAGTTGCTACTAGTGTATATCCTTTTTAATTTTATAATTATGAACAAAATTCTTTAAATTTTTATCAATACATGCAATGCTAATCATAAAAGTAAATTATATATTGATGTAATGGAATAACCTGTCACCCCCATGAGTGACTACACTACAGGTATTAACTACCTATAAGTATCTGTAAGTCAATGAACTACAGAATCTAGCTGGGATCTGTTGAGTACGACTTAGACTTACATGAGAACTACTGATCTTCCAATAATAGCACTCACTACTAGATTGACTTGTGACGATCATGCACATAACTGTTACTCATTATTACAATAAACCTTTACTTATCCACCTTGTTTTTCAAGTATATATTCATATTAGCATGGAATATAACATTATATATATATATATATATATATATATATATATATATATACAGAGTGCAATGGATAAATTTTCATCTAAAACCCCCTTGATTATTATGGGTGGGACACAATTGAGCAAAAGACCAACAAAACTTCTTGTAACATCAAAGATGAACTAAAAGCAAGGATTATGGCAGTATTTACCAACTTAAATAAAGAGATCATCCAGAAGAGTTGCAGGAGATTCTGAAGATGTCTGGAGGCCCTGGTTGAAGCCAATCATGATTTTATTGAATAAATTTACTCTTTAGTATCTCAAGATATTTTTGTGTAATTTTGGTAAATATATCTGTTAAAATGAGATATCAATGTTATTTTCATTTTTGCGTAATTTAGATAACAATTTAACCATTTGCATAATTTAGGCTATTTATCCATCACACCCTGTATATATTTTTATGTTCATATTATGTGACAAGATTTATAATTTCTGTATTAAGAAAATCTTTGGTGATTGCAGTCATACATGACAAGCAGCAGCATTATTGCAAGCAGCATGCAGAGTAGATTTAACACTCCAAGTTCTATACTCAGGATTGTCCCAAAAGACAATAGCCTAATGAATTAAAGCATTGATTCATAAACTTAGTGACATAGTTGACATAGTCAATCTTTGGGCTGAGCAATGCAGACTCAGTGGAGATAGAGTGAACCACAATTGGTCAGTACTAAATAGGAGCAAGACAAGATATTCTGATACATGGACAGTGGAATGTGAACAATCTACTCCTGTAGGTTAAATAAAAAGATCAGTTCAAAATTCCCTAATGTTTACAAGCACCTTATGAAGGCTGGAAGGCTTAATGGCTAAATCATTTTGATAATAACAATAAACACTTGGACAATAGTTTGAGTGTAAAAAATGTAAAAAAGTGACAAGGCACGCAATTTTTAACATTTTACACATGACTTGTCAACTGAATTGATAAATATATTATTTGCTTTTAATTTTTCTGTCATGTTGGAAACAGCATTTGAGAATGTTAAAGAAAGTGTGAGATTTGAGTTTAGGACAAGTGGTCGGTTGTTCAAGCAACAATGCTTCAAAGTGAGAACTAAGATGATAGCAAAAACTGTTTGTGACCTGCTCTTTGCAGACAATTGCAAACTTGTAGCCCACACCCTTAATGATATGCAATGGATTGTTAACAAATTCTCTCATGCATCAAAAGCATTCAGTCTGACCATGAGCATAAAAAATTGAACTTGTTCTCTAAGCTGTTGATCCCACTGTTTATATTGAGGGAAAAGTCTTGAAACCATTTCCTCTTTCACCTATCTTGGCTTCATTGTATCCAACGATGCTAAAATGGACAAAAGGAATTGAATGCAGGATTGGAAAGGCTAGTTCTGTCTTTGGTCATCTTTATCGCATGCTTTGAAATTCTTCTGATATTTCATTAAAGGTGAAGATTGATGTGTAGAAGTCAGTAGTACCGACAGCTCTACTTTATGGTTCAGAGTCTTGGACTCTGTACCGATGACACAACGATCAACTTGATGCCTCCTACAAACGTTGCCTAAGTACCATCTGCAACAGAAAATTGGGTAATTGCATTAGAAACAATGAAGTTCTGACTAAATGCAACATAACAGGTATTGAAACAATCCTAATAAAAATCCAACTCAGTTGGGCAGGACGTTTTTCTCGTATGAGCGATAGCAGACTTCCAAAACAACTTCTCTTTGGCCAGCTTCTAACATGCTAAAAATCCACTCTTGTTTTTCAAAGACAAACTCAAAGACTATCTGAAGCAATGCAGCATCCCATTTTCTTTCTGGAAATAACAAAGCATCAGAGTGAAGGAGTTGGTGGCTGTTCTGCTTCTCATCCATACAAAGGTTTGAGCAATGCCAACTTAAACATCAGAATCAACTGTGTGCACATTTTAAAGCATGTTGGCTGTATGCTGCTCCTCTCTATGGCTTTGTCACATGCAGTAAAGTAGACCTTGCTATCCACTCATGGAAACATGTGGCAATTGATCCTTAATTACTCAAGCAAACTGTTTAAACTACATGTTCCATCTGTCTAAAAGTTTACAAAACAACTACAGACCTTGGGGAATACATGTGTGTCCAAAAAATTTGAGCCCCTTTTTATTTTACTGAGCCCTTATTTGTCATCTGCAACAAGAGAGTCCAACATATCAACAAACACTGACAGAAAATGAAAGACACAGGTAAAATACAACTGAAATTTATAGAAGTGTAAGTGATCAAAAGTTTCATATCACATCACATTAGATTTATATGAGCCCCACATATACTGAAGCCATTACAGCAGTGGTTCATCTTGGGCAAAATAGCCTGGTGGAGCCCAACCCTTTTAAGTCTGGTTTTGAATTCAGAGCTTTCTCTTACTTTGGTTTCCACTACAAGAGAGCTCAGTCAACTTTGCTATTTAACCCATGGCTTGGGAGAAAGAGATGAATTCATACCTTTCCCAATGGTATTTGTGTGAAAGTGATCCTAATGGACTTAATCACCAAAGATAAGCAAATACCTAAATGGGTGACCACCTGGAAATACCAGGTGCTGTAAGGTTGGAGGTGTGGGTGGTGTAATGGATAATATCTCAGAATTGTTAATCTAAGAGGTGAGTTCCAATTCCAATTGGGTTCACTATATTCCCTTATGCTCAGATACCCTTGAGAAAGGTATGAATCCATCTCTTCTCCCCCCAGCTATGGGTTAATTAGTAAGACTTGTGTCAGTAAATCATTATTATCTTCACAAAAAGAAAAAAATTAAATAACCTGCAAAGGGTTGATAAGTCATAGAAATCAAACCAATCAATTATAATGGATTTATCTGGAATTTGAACTTTGCTGGATGATTTCTCTTTCCAAGTATTTCAAGTAAATAACTGAAGCATTAAAAAAAAAAAAAAAAATTGGAATTTTGAACAGAACCCTGTATTTTGTCCACAGGGGTAGATTTCTCTAGTTCCATGTGCCATGCCTCTTTCAAATGTCTCAGTTATCTCCCTTTAATTCAACTCTCCAAGTTTTTGTTCACAACTGCATTAGCTAGGTATTGAACTCACAACTACTTTTGGTCAAGTCACTGGATCCAACCAATGCTTTTACCCACTGAACCATGTGTCCTGTGGAAGAAATAAAGGATTCAGTTTGAAATTCAAATCACCTGCAGAAGGTTGGAGTGTATAACAGCCGAAACATTGTAATATGGTAATAAAGATGAGGACAACAGTCCAAACAATGTAAATAATTACAATACCTCATCTCAGAAATATAGACAGAAAAAAACTCCAGTATGAATGAAATTACTACTACAGTATAGGAAACAAAAACAAAACATTTATTAACAATAAAAATTCCTCCCACCACTCTTAAAATGGCTAACGTATTAACCAAAAGTGTTCACGACTATAATCCCTATAAACAGTTTCTACACACAAACCTCATAAAAGATTAATTGATCGATTCATTTTCTACAGCTTCAACCTTTTGTTGGTTATTTAAAGCTAGAAAACATTTTTACTTTTTATGAACTTCTCTTTTTTCTTGGATATAATAATCGTTAGTCACACAAGTCTTACTAATTAACCCATAACTGGTAGAGGAGGTGGATTCATATCTTTCCCAATAGTATTTGCATGTAAGTGAATATAACGAACCCAATTGGAATTGAAACTTGGCTCTGATTAACAATTCTGAGCCATTATTCATTACACACCCACATATCCAAGCTTACAGCACTTGGTATTCCCAAACAGGAACCCATCTAGGTACTGACCAGGCTCAATATTGCTTAACTTCGGTGATCATAGGGAAACCAGTGCTTCAAAATGATGTGGCTGTAAGCCCTCATAAAAGAAAACTTCCAAGAATACTGGAAAAACTGAATAAGAAATTTATATCTTTCTCCTTCGTATTCAATGAAATGTCTATATATATATATATATATTAGTGGCGACTTTAAGTCATCAATGTTTGTTAGGCTCATTACAATCTTTAACAAAATATACTATTGGTATAATTTAGATGCTAAAATGATTACTTTACTCTAACTAAAATATATAATTTTTTAAAATCTCCTGCCAGATATGTTTTTTTTTAAAATAGCGTGTGTATCTCAAGAGTGTGTTTGTATACATATGTGTGCATTAGTGTGTTTATGTATCTCTCTGTCTGTGAATTTTATGTTTATGATCAGTACTGCTGCCTGATATCATATTTTCTCAACACTACCCCAGTCAGACTCCTCACCGTAACCCTCCAGTCAACGAGTTAAGGCTTTCTTTGCTTTTCGCAGATATCAGGTTTAATTTGCCCTTTTTCAATTGATACATTGTGCTAAAAAACCTTATACTGCACACAATAAATTATTTAAAATGGACATTTGAAATTAATAAGTTGAAATAAAAATGTGTTCTTTGAAAAACAGGGCATGATTAGAGATTTTTAAAAGATTATTTATAGAATTGCCTATTAAATGTATCCAGGTCAGATAAGGCTCAGATTTAAATAACCTGACTAGCCATGTTAAATTTTATTTAATTCTTTTTTTACTTACTTTCTTTCTTTGTTTTTTTTTTATTTATTTATTTATTTATTTCTTCTTTCTTCTTTATTATGAACAATATCAATGAACTGCATTTCATTCAATATTTCGAGGCACAGAGTTAAAACAATTTTGGATCCAGCTGAAGACAAGAATGAAATCGATGCACTATGAAAGATTTTTGTTGCTTTGAAATAAATATACTTGAATGTTGACTCACTTAGGCTAAGCCCAACAAGCCCAACTGCCAGTCACCACTGATACAAGTAAGACTGATCAAAACAGATGACTGAAATTTTTCAAGCGTTCTGTTTCACAATATGATCACGTCGACATCACGTGGGCGATGTTGTGAAAACGTATTCCTAAAATAGAGTATTTTAAATGAAAAATGAAAAGAATTTTATTTTAATCTAAAACTTATATGTACGTTTGTTGAGCATTAATCTTGCAAGAAAAGGGCAAATATTAAAGAAGCCGGGTGATCATATTGTGAAACGGAACGCTGATCTTGAAAAATTTCAGTTGTCTGTTTTGATCAGTCTTACTCTTATGTCCATCGTCTCTTCATGTTGAATTGAATATAGTCTAATGTTAATTATGTTTTATGAATATGCCCTGAAGATGGTCTACTAGACCGAAATGTCCGATGTTAACATTATATTAACATTAAAACAGCATAATTGCATATTAGGATTTTTGTTTGTTTTTTCCATATATTTTTCTTCATACTGTCGGATCTATATCCATATATTTGCTTACATATATATATATATATATATATATATATATATATATAGGCAAACACACACACACATGTGCACAGTTAATTTTATTTTCAATGGAGGCTTGATTATAGAGTGTATAATGACTTTTTCCTCACACCACTCTAATAACCTTTTAATAGTCAATCTGAATAAATCTAATATAACATTTAAAAGGGTTTTGAAAATGTCAACCAAAAATGACCTTGACAATTTGATGATTCACCTGAGCAAAGATTTTAAGTTTATAAATGACTCAGTATCAATTCTGAAGATATTGTAGATTAAGAAAACATTAAACATATTAGACATAAAAAATTTAGTTAGAACTTATTTGACTGGACTTCAAATAACAATGGGATTATGTAATAAAATGAATTCCTATCAAAATGACTGAAAAGACAATAGTGAATTTATTAAAAATTTATAGAAATTAACCAGAATTATAAATTATTTATAATAATTTATGTGCAATCTTTAACTATGTGTTAAAAGAATGATTGTTCCATTGACACTATTATTTTAATTACCTTAACTCTTCAACAATGTTTATTGTTTTAAAAAGCGATGATTAGAATTGTAATAAAATCTAAACATATGAAAGTGAATTTATATATTTTATTTGTTCTTGAGAATTGACAACAAAATTAAAAGAACACTATTTATTTATTTATTGGATTGTTTATTTACATTATTTATTACATTGTTTATTGGAATAGTTGGGAAAACATTGCCTAACTGCCAACAGATTCAGACTTTATAAAATGGTAAATAAGGATTTCCTGATAGTTCACTTATTTTAATAATTTAGTAAATGCTTATAAATTTATGAATAAAAGATTGTTTTTGTATTTTTTCTTTATAAATTGGTGAATGACAATTATTGCATTGTATTAGTTTTAATACAATTGTATTAATTTTTAGAATGTTTCAAATATAAAATTATTCTTGTAAATAATCTGTTAAATAGTATTTAATATTTTTCTGGTAAATTCTCAAAAACAATGTAAAAATTCACTATTATTATATGTTTAAGTTTTTTTACAGTTCTAGTCATTGCTTTTTAAAACAATAAACTTGGCTGAGGAGTGAAGGTAGTTAAAATAATAGCAGCATCAAGGAAAAAAATGGTACTTTTGATACACCGTTTTTTGCATGTGTGCAGGTAAATTTATGTTTTTATGAATAATCATATTATAATAAATATTTTGTGGTGTTTGCTATATAAAAATATAGCCTTGTACTCTCTCTCTCTCTGATAAGTCAAACAATAGTATTGAGAGGAAGATTCAAATAAAATTGCTGAATAAACATTTACTGAATTCTGACATTGAAAACTGTTAAAACAAGACAGGCAAGTTAAATAGATTGGCGCTTCGTGTGGAAGTTTAAATAACTGCCTCTTCTGATGCTCACTGTTTGCTTCTTTTTCTCATTAGTAATCTCTAAAATTTGGATTGTGTGTGTGTATGCAAGCACATATGTTTGGTTTGGCTTTGTTTTTATGCCATATGAACCTTTTCAAGGTTATTCAATGTCAAATTCTCTCATTTTCATAAACAAGAGATAGGTCTGGTTTACACTAGAATCAAAAAGACAGATATAGGTCCAGTTGTCATGAAAGGCAAAAAGGTACATATGAGCTTTGTTTAGAGTTTACAGTGATTAGCTAAACCATTCTCCAGAAAAAAGGTCCTTCCATTGCACTCTGACTTGACCTTTGCAGTTGCCCTAAATGTGGGTTTGAACAACAGTCTAAATAATAGATATAAACCCATTTTACAGTAGAGTAAAAAAAGTAGGCATAGACCCAGTTAGCACTAAAGTTAGAAAATAAAATAGATATTTTTTTTTAATCAGTATCACCCCAAGTGAGGTTCTAAAGCCACTCATCTGCAAGGGATTACAGAATATGGAAGAATTAGAAACATTAATGAGTAGGGAGAGAAAAGAATAATCAGGAGGACAGTAGATAGCGATTGACATTTCATTTAAATTTTTGCAGATTAAAGTTAGCTGGAAAGCATGGAGCCGGAAGAGAGTTTCACAAGTGAGAAGGTCAAGAAAAGAAACTGTTAGCATAGAATTTAAATCTAAATGGATGATAGAATTTAAATCTAAATGGATGATAGAATTTATGGCTAGATCTAAATCTACATTGATGATAGAATTTATGGCTAGATCTAAATCTACATTGATGATATCTTGATGCCAGTCTAGTGCTGTGCTTAAATTCAAAAAGTCTAAGTACCATAGTGAAGAGCTCATCTGAACAATTACCATGAAAGTCTTTATAAAAAAGGCATAGAAAGGCAATCTTAAGGTGGTGGGAATGTGACTAAAGCTGAGCCACCAGACCAGGACCAATAATATTGCAGATTCTTCTTTGGATCTTATCAAGGAGCTCTAGGTAAATAGAAGAGACACTGAACCATATGTGGCAGCAATATTCTAAGCATGGATGAATGGTAGACTTATAGATATTTAAGATAGAAAAAAATTGTACTCACAATTACTAGGTCACCAAATCCATGAACCAATGTTTTAATCCTCAGCTATAGGGTTAGTGAGTGTAAAAAGATATGAGAAAAAGGAAAATAACAATAAATTAAGCAGAATTAAGAAAACAAATTGACTTTGCATTTAAATGTTTCAAGATTAAAGAGGGCTGGAAAGCAAAAAGCTGGAAGAGAGTTCCACAAGTGAGAAGAGCGAGAAAAGAAACTATTAACATAAAACTTATGATTACATCTAGCCATTTCAGCTGTAAAATGATGAGACCTACTTGCCAATCTAGTACTGTACTTAAATTCATAAAGTCTAGGTGCCATAGAGAAAAACTCATCAGAACAATTACCATGAAAATATTTATACAAAAAGCACAGAGAAGCTACATTTCGGTAGTGAGAAAATGACTGAAACCAAGATGTCATACCAGACTGATAACATTGTATATTCTTTTTTGAATTTTATGAAAAATCTCTAAATACATAGCAAAAGCACCAGACCAGATGTGACAGCAATATTCAATGTATAGACAAGTGGTAAATGTATACATGTGTAAGATAGATTCTGGTGAGAAAATGTCTCTAGGACAACACAGTGAACCAACTTTCTTAGCAGCAGACCATGAAGTAGAAAGATTATATTGAATCAATTGATTCAATATAATCTTTCTACTTCATGTATGCAGAAAACATTAGCCTGAGAAGGTACACTGAGCCACTCTCCTGGAGGTTAGTATCATCCATGCTGATGAAAGGCAAAAAAGGCTCTCTAAGAAGATTAAAAGGGCACAGTTTCATTTTAGAGGTGTTACAATTAACAAGCTATTTCTTGCCACAGTTAACAACAGTCATTTGAGAGATCAGCTGCCAATTTGACCTTATCAAACCAATCAGATTTGCCCTTAAGACAGGAGTAAATAGTTTTGTCATCAGCATAGATACCAAGTTGCATGATGTGAGTTCAATCTCTGAACTGGCTAGTACAGATTTAAGCTTAGTAGAAACAGGATAACTAGAACAAGATGA